GTGATGGCCATTCGCTAGCATTCTTCTCAGTCTCTGCAATATATATAGCAGAGAGGGACAACGCATAAGTATCAAGTATGAAGCATGGAAGAGGACGAAGAGAGTGATAACGATGCAAAGGTGTGTGTTTGTTTGAATTACATGGTGGTCTCTCTTGAACCAATCTCCAGCGAGTATGGTGAAGTCGCCCGAAGGAGGAGGGAATGGGACAGGAATCCTAGGACGGCTCCAGATTCTGATGCTTCCGAATCCTCCGGCAGCTTTATGCATTTGCAGAGAAGGGAAGTAGAAGAAGCTTCCTATCTGATCTTTAGTTCTCATAATGTATGTGAAGTTCTTCCCTGGTGGGATTGGACAGTTCGTTCCAGAAACACCATCCTGCCAAGAGTTCCTCCTGTGCTGCAACCCATTCCTGCACAATTTGCAACCCATATCTCCAGCTTCATTCAACTAAATCATTCACTTCAATGAATCTCTTTAAGTTTGCAAATTTACAACTATAGTTAAAGAGATTTAGCTTTTATATCTGATAGATGATAGTTTCTGCCTACGCTTTTTCTTCTAATAAGCTGCTAATCGAGATTATTGTATTTAATCACCACATCAACCTCCAAAATAATTAAAGAGGTCAACTTATATAAGGCCTCTGAAAATTTACGTATCCGAGGGTAAGTTCACGTGATCAACAAAAAGATGGTATCTCGTGAATATTATCAGCATTTACATTCTATTCCCCGCATCTCACTTTTGCAGAAAGCTCTGTTTCTAGAATGCCAGGGCAGAGGATCAAAAGGAAACAAAGAGAAAAACACAAGGTAAAAATAGGAATGTGATGTACCATGAAATGAGGAATGGTTCTGGGAGGTAGTTGTAGACGCGGATCACCAAGTTATCATTTGTGACCGCATCTAGTTGAGGCCCAGGGAATTGGCCATTAATCAAGATCCCCTGCAAGATTTAAGCCAAAGCAAAGAACATTGAATCCCAAATATTTGAATATTGAACCAAGAACACCTATCAATCTGTTCAGCACACACGAAAGGAAAAATAGTTCCCTTCTCCACAAAAATATAGGAAGTCTTCAGAAAGGTAGAAGAAAGGGAATGAATGAGACAGAACAATAATGCAAGTACATACCCGTTGCTTCACACCCAGAGGGTAAATGTCGCCGTACGTGATCTTCCAAGTGAGGAATCTATAAGGGTCTTCAGAGTTGACGCCATTGACAAGAAACATAGCAAGAATGAGAACTGTAACGACATTGCTAGCTCTCATTCTGATCTCAGACACTTGCCTTTTTGTCAAAGGAATGTCTGTGTGCAAAGAAAGGAGGGAACTTTAGTTGTTTGGGCAAATGGGTATGGAACAGAATGTGTGTAGAGCAAAATATGAAGCCTAATAAAAAGGCCCCGCACTCAGTCAGTCACTCCCAGTCCTATGAAAGGCTAAACCTCTAGAGGGATTATGTACCTTAAAAAACTCGAACTTTTTGTTTTGCTTATGTTGTTTCAGGGAAAGTGCGTAGTGGTTTTGTATGGGAAGAGTTGTCAGTTGGCTCTTCAGGTGAAGGAACAGTCACATGTTAATGTAAGGGGGGAACACAAGTTCAGATCCTGGGCTTGTATTATTAAATTTAACACGATATGTTGAAGCTGGTAATTTCGTCTTTTTGTATATTTTTTTGTAATTGTATAATCTACACGTTTATATCTATGATAAGAAAATTATAATGAATCAAGTTATTTAGAGGACATGAATAACATGATTTTTATTTGCCAAGCCACATCAAGACCACACTAATTAATACTTCCTTTGATTCTTAGCATAAGATTTTTTTTTTATTTTGGTTTTAAATATAAGATTTCAATCTATTTTGTTTCTTATATTTATCTATTTTTTTTAAGATAGTCTTTGTAATATACTACTTTCAATCCTAAATATAAGAACTAGTTGACTATTTTAAGTAAATTAATAAAATTAGTTAAGTTAATTATTTATAATAAATATGTATTATCTTTTCTAAAATATCATTGCTAATCAACTTTACTAGCTAAAATTATGATTATTAAAAATACTATTTTGGACAAAAATGAATAAACATAAAAAACAAAATAAATTAAGATTTTATATTTATGATTAAAAATAAAAATTAAATAAGATCTTATATTAAAAATAAACAGTAGTATAATAATTAAATAATCTGGGCAAAGAAGAGCACCTGTGAAAAAGGGCACACGTCTCAATGGTCACGGATCATAGGCTGTCTGGCCGAGGTTGTACCATCTTAGTGTGATCCTATTAAGCGGAGTTGATGAAAATGGTTTTCTTGTTTATTAATGTATATCGAAATTAATGAAGCAGTGTGCGGCTCACGGGCATCTGACATTTTTCATTCATAATTAGTGATAAATTATGGCCATTAACATATAATATATCTTTCGAGTTTCACTTGGTCAGTCGTGTCATTATGACCCCATTAGCGGCACTAATCGTCTTTGTCATTAGGTTCTTGTCTCTTCATGGGGGAAAAAACCCCGGAAAAAACTAATTAATTAGCTCTTTTTATTAATATAATATCCAGGTTTTAAAGTTCTAGTGATCAGAAAGCTTGTCCCAAAGTGTTTTTACTTTTATTTTTTTTAAATGATTAGTCAGAAAGCAGTTTAGTTCCACTATATCAGTTAATATTAATATTAATCAGAGAAGTTTGATTATTTATTTCATATTTTTCATTTACATTTAATTTTTAAACTGGTCCCTATATAACTTAATTAGATGATTGGGAGAATCATGTTGAACAAGGAAAATATAAGAATATTTAGCCTAAAATGCCTTAAAATATGAAATTACTATGAAAGACCAAATCAATAAAAACACATCCAAAGTGACTCATATACCTTCATTGTCACATGCCCATGCCCTCACTGCCTTACGCAGTTACTTCTTGCCCATCTCTCATTCCAAAAACCAAAAGCTTTAATGTGGCTCCTTATAAGACCCCTTTTCAATTCATTCTCCTTATTTTCCAGGTGATATTTGCCATTGCTAAGAAACCATTGGGTCTCTTGTAACTCATCCTACTCTTACTGTCTTTAGTCTTTGATGCAAAAGCCAGTTAATTAATTTAGATAAATTGAAAAAAGTTAAATCAATTACTCCTCCGGTTCTAAATGCAAGACCCTTATACACACTAGGATAAGGGTCTTATATTTAGGACCGGAGGAGTACTTAATTCTAATAAATATCACATATTGACATGATCTACCTGAAATTTCTATATGTAACATAAAATTATAAGTTAAAATGTATCTAATATCCTAAAATATTTTTTCAGATACATCTATTTGGTATTTTAAAGTATTTTGTGATATATCTAATATTCTAAAATATTTTTGCCCATACGCCCAAAACCAACTTTATAAGTAGCTCCCACGTACAGTGGAGGAGTAATGTGTATTCTCACTCCATATTCAGAAGCCTCGTCCCCTCGCCAAAGAAGCCACTGGGTCCACACCGTCCATTGAATAGGGCAGAAGCCTTCTGGGCCTTTTGGTCCGAAATCGTTCGTCTGGATGAGCCATGCTTTGGGCTTGCTGGTAAGGACCCAACTTTTCTTTTCCTTGTATATACTTATTATTAACATTAACACCACAAATAATAAAATTTTTCTCTGAGTTTGACTTATTTAATATTCCATTCTTAATATAAGGCTCAATTAACCAATTTAAAAAATAAAAAAACTTAAAAATTACTCAGCATATGTTGTATGATCTCTAAAAAAATAGTTGTATATATCATTAGATTATATATTAGTTTGTAAATTGAGTAAATTAATTTAAAAAAATCATAAATATAATAATTTAAAGTAATTTATTTAACTTCTTTAATATCCTCAAAGTTGTCAACTAGATCTTATATTAAGAAGCAGGTGTAATATTAATAAATAAAATTGTTACATGCACATACAAGCATGTCAAGACTACTTTTGTTATTATGCAGAGGGATTCCTTTCTAGCAGATCAATATTCACTAACGTGATTTTAAATAAGCACTAATATTGCCAAGCAAGCCAAGCCCAACTGTGTTTTGCGGGGAACATTATTGTCTTGTTGTTGCTTGTTCTGTGCGGCTCACTTGCAATGTTTCCTTGGTGAAGCCGACGTGGTCTGTTTAGCAGTAGGAGTCCAGAATCAGAGTATCCTCTCCTGATTGAACGGTTTGATTAAATTATTGCCAATGACCAATATGGGAACATGCCGAGGAGGAAGATGCTTAGATCTTGGGAAGTTGGGAGTTGACCTTATTCATATGTTTTACGGGTTGACTGCTGATAACTGGGCGTGACACTTGAAATACCAGCTAGAGATAGAATTGAAGTGAAAATAAAAGAGCTAAAAAATCTATAAGAAATTCATATGGATAGATGCCAACATATTGAGATTACAAGTGATATCAACTCGGTCATCTCCAATAAGAGAAAACTTCATGCTTTTTTTTTTTTTTTGCCATAAAAATTTCATGCTGTTGGATTATAAGATGATTGACAGTTGCTTGAATTTTTAATTTAAAAAGAGGGACAGACCTTGGGCAGCATAAGAAAAAAGAGGTGATTTATGATGAGAAAAGTTTTTTTTTTAAAAGAAAAGGTTTGAAATAAGTAGACTTTTTTCATAACAGAAGGTTGAATGCAGCAAGGAAAGAAGCAACGTCTCTGTGAGGATCTGGGCCAGGCTGGACTGTGGAGGGAGGGTCAAGTGCCATTGGAGCACCTTCTTCAATAAATGAAAAGCCTCTACAGCAATTCATCATCTTTTTTTTAAAAAGTCGACCTTTTTCCGCCCTGTTTCTCCTCCCACTAGTAAAGCCAACCCACCCCCAACCCCACTTTTTTCTCCCTTAATTAACAATTACAATAAATTCGCGTTGTTGCTTTTTTCCCAGTAATAAATATCAACGCAAAATGAAACAGGCATGACTTGTCCTTTTTAAAATTATTGTCGAGGGCTTCAAACTGAGGCTAATTCAAACAGCCACGCCACAAGAAACACGGGTGTCTTGTAGCACACAAGCATGCCGTAAAACTGGTGCCAATTGCGATTACTTTTTTAGTGTCTTCTCCACTCTTCTTCTATCTTCCCACTGTACAGCTTAGACAGTTCAGTGATCTAAACCACGAAAAACCCACCTACCAGGTACCAGCATATACTGTCACTCCCATTTTTGTACCCAAAAATATAAAGAAGCAGAAAGGAGAGGGAAGCTTTTTGGAAGATAATGCTTGCATCTGTAGCTGAACCAGAAGCAGAGGATGAGGAGCTCAACCTGAATCTCCTGTTCAATGGCAAACTCTAAGTTTATCTTCTTCTTCTTCCTCCTCCTCCTCCTTGTTGCCATTTCATCTGGAGGTAATTCCCGAGAAATCTTCATCCTTTTCTGTAATTTATCATTCCCTTGTTCTTAATTGCTTTCTGGGTTTCGCAGCTCGCCAAGATAACGTGCCATTTGTGGGTTTTAACATTGGTACTGACGTTTCGAATCTGCTTTCGCCGTCCGACCTCGTCGCCTTTCTTCAACTTCAGAAGATAACCCATGTTCGGCTGTACGATGCCGACCCCGACACCCTCAAAGCTTTGGCTAGAACTAATATTCGGGTCGTTGTCGGCGTACCCAACAACCAGCTCCTCGCAATCGGATCTTCCAACACCACTGCCATCTCCTGGATCAAGCGAAACATCGTCGCTTACTACCCCGCTACTCTCGTCACCGGAATTTCCGTCGGCGACGAGGTCCTGACTACCATACCCTCTTCGGCCCCCATTCTTCTTCCCGCGATTCAGTCCCTCTATGATGCCCTCGTCGCTTCGAATCTCCATAACCAGATCACGATTTCCACCCCTCACGCTGCTTCGATCATTTTGGATCCTTTTCCTCCGTCGCAAGCTTTCTTCAATCAAAGCCTCGTCTCTGTTATCCTTCCTCTGCTTCAGTTTCTTTCCAAGACCGGCTCGCCATTGATGATGAATTTGTACCCTTACTATGTGTTTATGCAGAACAGAAAGGTGGTTCCTCTGGACAATTCATTGTTTAAACCGTTGACGCCATCCAAGGAAATGGTCGACCCCAATACTCTGCTTCACTATACCAATGTTCTAGACGCCATGATTGACGCTGCTTATTTCTCCATGAAGAATTTGAATGTCACAGACGTGGTGGTTTTGGTCACAGAAACAGGGTGGCCTTCAAAGGGTGATTCCAAAGAACCTTACGCTACAAAAGACAACGCAGACACCTACAATTCCAACCTAATCAAGCATGTTTATGATCGTAGTGGGACCCCTTTACACCCAGAAACGACTTCAAGTGTGTATATATACGAATTGTTCAACGAAGATTTGAGGTCTCCACCGTTGTCGGAGGCGAATTGGGGCTTGTTTTACGGTAACACTACGCCGGCTTATCTGCTTCATGTGTCGGGAATTGGGTCTTTTCTGGCGAACGATACGACGAACCAGACATACTGTGTAGCCATGGATGGGGTTGATTCGAAGACATTGCAGGCGGCTCTGGATTGGGCGTGTGGACCTGGAAGAGCAAATTGCTCGGAGATACAACCTGGGGAAGCCTGTTATTATCCAAATAATGTGAAGAATCATGCTTCTTACGCGTTTGATAGCTATTATCAGAATCAAGGCAAGGCTGCTGGGTCCTGTGACTTCAAAGGAGTCGCCATGATCACAACCACTAACCCCGGTAAGTGATTCTTCAAGATCTCAACTTTCTTTGAATTTCGCTATCAAACTTGATCCTCAATCATAATGTCTTGTTAAAATGCTACTTGAGAGCTCATGATGAGTAATGACCCCAATACTTATTGCCAAAATCAGTTGCTCTCGTGGGACGAACATCACACCAATTGAAAGACAACATTGCTTAGTTCTAAAACTGAGCAACAAAATCGAACCTTTTCTAAAACTTGAAATTCATTTTACTTTGTGTTTGGGTTTGAAAAGGGATGTTAGTTAAAAGTTTATAGTAACTACGAAGTTTAATTTCTTCAAGCACCGACAGAATCTTGGAGAGGCACTCAAGTTTTGGTCCTACTATGATGTGAATATGGAAAATAAGAGAAGACTGATAATTGCACTGTCTTGTTGGATTACACTAGCAGAGATTCTTTACTGTGTTTTCTAGATTTCCTTCATTTAGTTGTCAGATTTTATGATATTAAATATTATTCACTTGCTGGCGGTATTGTTTCTTTCTTCCAACCCTGATACAAGTATCATATGCGTATGCCTACCTTACATGAGATAATGCGTGAATCATACCAAAATGGGCTCCACAGTTTTCAAATTTCTATGTTTTCCCTTTTGTTGTTACTGATCAAGTAATGTTTTCCCCCCCTTTTTAACTGTTCTTCTGGGGACTACCATTGCAGGTCACGGGAGCTGTCTATTTCCAGGAAGGTGAGAATCAACCATACTAATATAATGAATATGTAAATGAGATAAAATCTGTGTAGAGATTGATTGCTGTGTGATTGTGTATTATGCAGTAAAACTTTGACGAACAAGACAAAGCAAGTGGTGAACTCTACACAGTTGAGCAGTGGAGGAAATAGGTTAAGAAGCTTTAGGAGTATCAGATTAAGTGCTATTAAACAAGGCTTGCACATTTTCTTGGTTTTTGTACTTCCCACTTTCTTCTTATTATTCCTTTTGTAATGTGCCAATCAGAGCGCCAAATAATTCAATTTCTTTTTTAGGGCTAGAGTTATTGAGAGTAATAATTTTTGTAGGCCGAAACATAGATTTTCCTGGGGGTTTGGAGAGTAGGGTCAGTAATATATATGTTGTTGGGTTTTATTTAATTACCATGTGGATTTCTCTTATAGCATACCATGTAACATGAGACACGGACAATAATACGAAGGGCAGATTAACTTTCGGTTTATGATGTAGTGCTCCTCTGGTTCTTAATTAAAAATTTAATTAACTGATTTAAGTAGATTAAGAATTCTAGTTAAATTAGTTAACATGAGACTTGGCTATCTTACACACCAAACATTCTTAATTTTCAAAACTACAACAATAACAATGGTATTTATCAAATCTATATGATGACTCACCAGCAAACAAGCCCGTTGCACATACTTCCCACTCTGAACTTTATATTTCTGTAATCATTACATTGCAATAATAAGTAAAGTGATCGAAATGAACGGGTTTGCTTCACCTTAAATCAAATAAAGGTAAAAAGAGAAGATATTGAGATGACCGATCACTTGCTTTATTTCTTAAAAAAACTGTGCTTTTGTGTGTTGGGTAAAAAGAACGGGTGATATGCTGTTGAACCATCAATCCAAAAGAATAAAGCTTTTCCTCCCCTGAAAAGATGCTAAAAAGACATCCTCACGATAATAACCAATTGATATGCTTGTGGGTGTGATATTATTATTTATTAATATAAAATTAAATAAGTCAAACTCAAACAAATTTTTTCATTATTTGTGTTGGGACAATAATAAGTACTTGACCAGGGAAAACATTGGAACATACTTTTTCCCCGTTAATGGGGTGTACTAGTCGGTGATTTAAAAAAAAGAAAAGAAATATTAGTCTTAAGCGCCACACAACTCAAATTATTAAAAAAAGGTGGTTTAAAATTATCAAAATACTCCCATGTTTCATACGCCTCCGGTCCTTATTATAAGACCCAATTTGACTTTTTATTTGGTCCTAATTATAAGACCCAATCCATTTTCTCTCTTATATTTATGTATTTTTTTTCCAAGATAATCCTTCTAATAATGATAGTTTTAGCCAATATACTTAATTAGCAAAGATATTTTAGGAATAACAACACTTATTTATTATAAATAACCAACTTAACTTACTTCCTTAATCTCCTCAAATAAGTCAATTGGGTCTTATAATTAGGACCGGGGGAGTATCATTTAATTATAAATGGTTCATGTCATAGAAATATCTAAGAATCAAACACAACCACCCACTCACCCCCCCCCCAAGACAAAAAGACCAAAAAAAAAAAGGGAAGGATCCCCGTTGCTCTCAACCACCGTAAGGACTAAGGATGATAACTCTTTTTTTTTTTTTTGGGGTTGTGACCATGCAAAAGAATCGTACTTGGTTCCGCATAAAAACCATTGACAATATTCGAAGTTCTTAATAAGTGGGATCATATTCGAACTAGGGTCCAAAACAAAAAAAGAAAGGATCACATTCGAACAAGTTTAGCACTAGCTGAACCGGTGAATCCAATAATTTTTTTAAATAAACCAAAACAACTAGCATTAGCTGAACGCAATGATTTTGTTTTTTTTACTAGAAACTGCCAGAACGAGTCTTGGCATGGAACAATAATAGAATTGAGATTCATTGACCAGAATGATGCACGGGGATTAGATTCTTATTTTACAAAAATGGTTAATGTTCAAATATTAAAAAACTATTCACAACAAATATTTCCGATTAGCTTCCTTGCGAGCAAGAAATAAATTCTTTCTCCGTCCCCGATGTTTTTATGTTTGGAAAATGCCGAGTAATTACCATAACCACGATGTCTCTAACGTTAATATCAAACAATAGGTCCGTTTGCACCGGCGATTAGAAAAGTAGCTTTTGAAAAAGTGAAGTTGGGTAAAAGTTAAATTAGATAAGCTAAAATGTGATTGGATTGGAGTTCAGAGAAACTAGTTTGAAAAATGAAATTGATAAAAAGTTGTTTGGGTTATGATTAGGTAAAAGTAAGTTTGTTTATAAAATTATCAAAATAGCTATGAGTTTTAATAAATAATAAAACATTATTAAAAAATAATTTTTCCAAATTATTTATAAGCTCATGTTGATCTCATATATTTTCTTTTATTATTTGTTATTTATTATAAGGATATATTTGAAAATAAAAATATATTTCTAGGAGTATATTTAAAAACGAAAGTATATTTTTAACTTATTTATTACTTTCAACTAATTTTAATTGATTTTTTGTTATCTACAAATTAGTTATTTGAGGCTTATAATAAGAAACAAGAGGGTGTTTGGCTCCTTTAAAAAGTGCTTTAAAAAAATACTTTTTCTCAAATCAAGATAAACTCTTTCATATATTTACTTCGTATATTATAAAAGCATTTTTAAAATCATGATTTTAACTCTATCCAAACACCCCCAAATAAAATAATAAATTTCTTATTCTCTCTCTATGTTTCAAAAGTTATAAGTCATAAGCTATAAATTATAAATTGTTAATTTTAGCTTATAATTTATTGTAGCTTTTCATACAAAAACCAAATTGTTCAATTGCTAAGCCAAACAGCACAAATTCTTCAATTGGGCTTATGCTTTTTTAAAAAAATCCTTGTTGCCCTCCCAACGCTTGGCCAAACAGGCCGAATATCTAATTAGATAATGCTGTAATTGTCTATTACCATTGGCGTATGAACAGTCATGCAATCAATCCTCAGAATTTTTAACACTCACCTTTCCTCCAGCAAGTTTGCGCATTTTGACGTTACAAAAGGCGGGGGTAAGTAGAGCCGTAGCGGTAATTCAACTTTGCGTCTATACAAAGAAATTTGGTAAACCAACTTCAGTTTGTAAGTTTCCTAGTAGAGCAAGAAGGGAGGGGCGTAACAATGACCGTTTATTTAGAAAGCAGCAATAATCTTCTCTTCACAGGATCCTTGCTACAATCGAACATTGCAAGAAAGAGAACTCCTCTAAAAATATACATAAACAGATAACCCAATTTCTTTCGCTAAATTTGAGTCAAAACTTGCCCTTCCCACATCATCACAAGTCACCAAAAATTCTGAATGGACGATCATGAATGCTATACGAGGTAAACTTGTCCACATACTTTTGCTTGAATTGAAAACCCAAACAATCAACGGTTTATTGATTGCTTGATTTATATTTCATCATCGCAGGGCATTGACGAAGGCCAACAATGAATCAACGTCTCTCTTCTCAGAAGGATATTTAATTGGCCGAGAAGAATGTTTTGGGAAGAACAGTATCGTGGGAAAGCTTCCTAGATCCAATTGTTGTTTTGCAAAATCCTTGTGCTCTCCATCTGATCTGAACTTACCAACCTTAATCCCTGATCCTTCTAGCTTATCAGCCAAGTCAACATAAGATTCCTCCATGGCCTGTCAAAATTCGGGAAAAAAAACTATCAGGTGATGAATGCTTCATTCTAATTTCTAAAACAACCCGTGTAAGATAGATTTTAATATAATGGAATGTTTTGGGAACAAAGTATACCTGGCAGAAGGGGCACCATGGTGCATAAAGCACAACAAGCCATGGCTCTTTTCGGTTCTCCAATTTGACCAGATTCTCAATTCCAGTCCTGCTCAAGTTGACCACACTCTGGGAGTTAAAAATGTCACCCACCGTGGCATTTGCATGGGCAGTGCCATTTTCATTCCCACCATGGTGGGCAGCATCTTCCTGTTTGATATTTCCTTTGTGAAGACCACACTCCTTGGCTTTGGCATCTTCCCACCACCATCTTCCCTCCCTTTCATGTTGCCCGGGTAAAACTGGCCTTGTGCATGGCTCACAACCAATTGAAACGTATCCTTGTGAATGCAATGCATTAACAGGCACATTCATGGTCCTAAGGAAGTTCCATATGTCATGACCTTTCACGTTAGCCACTGGGTTCCACTTTACCAGGCTACCGATTCCACCATCCAGACCTTCGAAAACTGGATCAACCTGAACAACAGGGATCTCGGACCTTGTTCCGGGAGATTGATCTTTCCTCTGCCCAGTGATCCATGCCCTGAGGCCCTTAAGGGCCCTCCTCAAGGGTCTTACTTTCCTCACTCGGCAGCACTCTTGGTGCCCATCCTCATAGAATGAGAAGAGTCCCTTACTTCTTACTAATGCCTGAACCTCAACGGCATCAGGGAACATGTACTCGATATGAATATTATAATGCTTCTCAACTGCATCAAAGAGCCTATAAGTTTCTGGGTTTAGTCTCCCGGTATCCAGACTGAACACCCTAAAGGGGCGACCCGTTAAATGGGCGTACTCAATTAAAGCTACGTCTTCAGCACCACTGCAAAAGCAAAGCTTATCATTACAATCTAGATAAAAGATTGGGAGATTCTGTAATTACATGGATTTATAAGCATCTGCGGGGTTCAAACAGTAACCACATATTTGTTTGGAAACAGAAGACAAGATATGGATCTTAGGTAGATATGAAACTACTTCATGGAAAAGAGATAAATCATTCACCAAGAAAAAGTTGCGCATTTTTATCTCAATTTTGACTAAGATCAGTTGTTGTCAGTAGAATTTAGATCGCAAGAAAGAATTTTTATTAGCGTGGCTACTTCAACAAGGTAGCAAGTTTGGACTTTAACTGTCATGAAAGATAACGTATAAAGTTAATTTTCAGAAGGAATTGACATGATCAGAGCGCAGAACAAAAAACGACATTATTCATCAAGAGACGGACAATTTTTGGAAAAGTCACACTTGAAAGGATCGTAATAGCTACCTGAAAGCAATAGCTATATCGTTGCCAAATTGTTCCAAGGCCTTATCCATTATCTCAAGAGGGGAAGCATTTTCAAGGTCTGAAGCCAATTGCTCATAATCTAACTCTACTTGCTCATCTACCTCTGCAAATCACGCAGAGAAAATCGTCAGCACATTCAAATTGGTTAAAGCTGGTTTCCACAAGCAATCATCTCCCGTAAAGAATAAAATTTTCATTGAAAATTACGAATAAATTTACACCACAAGACAAGTACCAGGAGCAAAGGTAGCTGCTGCTAGGGGCACAACTGAATCCTTCCGTTGAGGTTCAGCGCATACGGGTTTCACCAGGCCGTGCCTGTGCGACAAATTCACAGCACCGGATGAAGCATGTGGTTTATCCAAAATATGAAAGGAGCCAAATTGCGAGGCTGAAAATGAAAATTAACGCATTAGAACCCAACATTACGCATCTAACCTATAAAAACTTACAACACTAAGGAGCGATTGATTCCGAAAATGACGAAAAATGATTCAAACCTTTAAGGTCAGAGGAAGAACTGAAACGCGGGAAACTGGAATTAGAAACCGCGGTTGAAGAAGAAGAGGTAACAGCAAGCGCCATGATTAGAGACCTTTGGAATCTAAAGCAACTAATTGCAATTAGTGTTCTTGGCAATGAGCGGCAAGGGCGGGTGTCTATAAAAAGGAGGAGGAGAGCAAACTCGGCCAAGAGGAAGTTTGAGGTTCATTGAACCTGGACGCAATTTTGGGATAGATGCTTGCGCTCACGTGGCGATGGGGCATTGGTTGAGAGGAAACCCATGGCTCATGGCTTCCGTCAGGTCAGGTCAGGCGGCGAGGTTTGAGGCTGCAAGAGCCGCTCTCTCGTTTCCCGGATTCTTCTACGGTGCTGCACCCTCCTTTATTAATCAGATGTTGATTGATTGATGATTGATGATAATTTTTTAATGTTAGAGAGAATTATTAAGAATGATTTCTTTTTGGGAATAAGATGAAGAGTTAAATAATATTATACGTGACTATAATTTGAAAAACCCTCCCTCATGTTCTTAACCTGATGAGTGAAGTATTCTATTTTATTTTAAATATAATATCTTAATTTATTTTTTGTTAAATAAAATTTATCATATTTATCATATTTATTATTTTAAACTAATTTATTTAACTTATAAATGGACATAAAATTTAATGTTATATATTATCTTCCATTCTTAATATAAGAGCTATTTTGACTTTTAATTTAGTTTTAAATATAATACATAATCAATTTTGTCTCTTATATATATATATATTTTAAGGTAGCCTTTAGAATTGTTGCATATGTTAAAAGTTTTGTAGTAGTGCTATCTAATATGTTTGATTAGTAAAGATATTTTAGAAAAGACAATACTTATTTATTATAAATAACTAACTTAACTAACTTTATTAATCTGTTCAAATTAGTCAGCCAACTCTTATATTAAAGTTTCGAGATAATATTATTTTAGAAATGTTACATTTATTAATCTATTCAAATTAATTAAATAGTTGTAATATTAAAAATTAAATGTTAGTAGTATAACATTAGCCAAGAGAGGAGGTAATTTTATGATAACAATAAATGAGAGTTAATTGTTATGTTAGAGATCAAGAGTGGCGAGAAATAATGATGGTTTTACCCCGATCCTAAATATAATAGCTAATTGACTAATTTGAATATATTAAAAAAATAAGTTAAGTTAGTTATTTATAATAAATAGGAATCAAATTTATTGACTAAAACTATCATTATTAAAAAAATTATTTTTAAAAAAAATAAATTAAAATATTATATTTAAAAAAAATAAAAATTAGTATATTAAAAAGTGATGGCAGTATAGGCCAAGTGTGGTTGTGTTGCAATCCATTTCATATATTTTTTTGACTTTCTCCGTCCTTTTTGTTGGAAGCTTATGATCATCTTGTGGTTCAAAGAAGCACGGGTCGCCGACACCGACGGCCTCAAATTCTACGCTTTCCTTATTTCGCGTAATTCAAACTGATAGTTCATTTTTTTGGTGAAAATTGATAGTTAAGTTTTCCTCGTAGAGTAAAATGAATATGTTTTAGTATAAACAAGAGTTGGCGATAAATACGTATATTCAAGAACAAAATGGACAGAATTTAAAATGGAAGGAAGACGTGTGATGATCATTGAAAATCACTGGCCAAAAAAATCATTTGAAAATAAATGACAAAATAATTTGGCAAAATGACCTAATTTTGATAAATTTATTATTGAATAATATTTTTCCTAAGCACTGGCGACGGCGGCTGATGGTAAAAGTTTGTTTTTTTAATGCAAAGGTAGTTAGATTATTTCAAAAAAGTTAATTTCACAAAAATTTTATAAGCTTTATTAGAATTAGGCTATTTGGCGAGATCATTTTGTCATTTACTCATATATTTTTCTCCCCATCTAGAAGGAGAATAACCGCGAACAAGAATGAGGATAAAGAAAAAGCTTTTTTGTTGTTTTTTAAATGTAGATAATCTCATTTAAAATATTACTCCCTCTGTTCCTTATTATAAGAGACATTTGATGCTTATGGCATGTTCCTATATATAAGAGACACTTACAAGTTGTCTCTACTTTTTTGTGTTGATTTACTATTTTACCCATATTTTATCTCCAACTCACACTCTTTCTCCCTCCTCACACTTCTCTTTCTTTGAATAATTTAATTTTTCTCTCTCATACTCTCTCTCTTTATTAATGAGGGTATTTTTGGAAAAAAATTATACTTTTTACACATTAATTGTTCTTAACTAATTTTAACTGTTTTTTTGATCAACGTATTTCGGTTATTTGTCTCTTATAATAAGAAACGGAGGGAGTATTAGTTACTAAATATAAGGGCTTTTCATTTAGACAAAAAAGATTTAACCTTTGGAAAAACCCTCAGGTGAAAAAGTACTAAAAAAAAAAAGAAGAAGAAAGAAAAAAACCCTTGAAGAGCCCAGAGGGCGGACAAAGACACTTGCACAAGCGACAAAATTCCTTGTTTTTTTTTTGGTGATGAAAGCGACAAAATTCTTAGATCCCCCAAAAACTCAACTCGCTCACAAGAGAACATGCCAGTAATTGCGATTCCATTCTCCCTTGTTGCTTTCAACTTTCCACTTGTTTTCCAAAAATATACTGGCTCTGGTTTTTAATATGAGATTCTGTTTGATTTTTATTTTGATCCTAAATATAAGAGTTTAATCTATTTTATTTCTCATATTTATTTATTTTTTCTAAGGTAGTCATTCTAATAATTATAGTTCTAGCCAATATAATTGATTAGTAAGGATATTTTAGGAAAAACAACACATATTTATTATAAATAACTAACTTAACTTCTTTCCTTAATCTCCACAAATTAGTCAATTGGATCTTATAATTAGGATTGGAGGTAGTATAAAATTCTTCTACTATTATATCTTCACCTGAATATGTTTGATTAGCTTATTCATTATATCATATCAATGGCAAATTATTGCCTTTAAGATTCCTAACACATTAACACCTATTAAGTTGTAGGGATATTTTAATTGTTGATATTTACTTACCCCATTCTTAATATCAGAACTAAATAAAAAGTTTATAAATATTAAAAAAATTAGTTAAACTGATTATTTGTAACAAATATATTAAAACTATTCTCTTGAATTATGTGGATCGAAACAGCATCTTGATTGATATTCCCCTTATGCGCACAACCAACAGGTATACTTTACACACACAAAAATATAAATTTAAGATGCAAAGTAAATTGAGATCCTATTGTTTAGAATTAAGGTGAATTCCTTATCCGGCTCCTATACTTAGAATCATAGGTAGTATTAATCTTTTTTCTTGCACCACCGTGACCTTTCGTTTAAAAAAATAATAATTCCTTACATAGTAATTTGAAATTAATAACTTTTGATTTAGCATATAAGATTTACAATAAACAATTACAAATAGTGTGACTTGTTTTCAAGCATCCCCTTCTCAAATTAATGTAACAAGAAAAGTGATCAAGATTCAAACGTTAGGAGTTCCAACTAAGCGTTATTTTTTATTAATCGTTAATTGTCATTCCAACAACTGTCTTGGCCGCAAAAGTTACAATAATTGTTGGGCGAGAAGAATGGTCATGTACAACTACAAAACTACCATAATATTTGGTGGCACAAAAAAAAAACTATTAAACATTTACCATTACATATTAAATGAATCAGATTCCTTAGAACAAATACGGGTCATAAGAAAAAGAAAGAACCCAATAAGGAGGAATTTTAAATAAAAAAAAAAGGTTCTCGAGACAAACATTGATAGCGAAACAACTGTTCCAAAGATTCTATTTTAGTTGATCCCATAACAAGAAAAATCTGTTTTACACACATTCCTCCGATTCTAAATATAAAACTGTATATAAGAGTTTTATATTTAGGACTGAAAAAATACATTGATTGATTATTAGGAGAATCGCAAAAGAAGCTTAAGATTATTAAATCTCAAATTAGGTCTGGTCATAATAACACGTTTTTGAAAAAATTCTTTATTTGTGATTTAGTTTGTGGATTCTCCCTTGATTATTTGATTAATATAATTAAATGCTGTTATAAAAATATTACCATGATGAACATTCATGTTGGTCACTTGCGTTTTTTTCTTCTTGTTTCCATTTTTTTTACGCTGAGAGTTAAAATATCAAGTAGATGGAAATTAAAATTCCCCGATTGCAACCATTATTTATTGAAAATATATGTATTATCCTACAAATGAAGTTTGGTTTAGCGACTGAAGCCAAGTTCTTATAGGAATTTAAAAATCTAAATCAATGCTCTAAATTAAAAGCCATATGTATAAACTTTCTACCTTCTGTATCAGCTTTGACGCCTTGGATTACAACTATGATGATGCCCCGAAGACAAAGCAGAAAGCAGCTCCACAAGGGACTATGAAGAAACTGGAAAACTCTGTAAGGGTATTGGTTCCACTTCACTCTGATTCAGAAACATCTGATGGTAATGGCTTTTGCCCCAGATCAGTAAAATTTACAGCATATACTTCTTCTACTCCTTGTTCAGGCATTCAGCCTCAATCATACTGTATCCATAGGATAACAACCAAGAACACGAAGAAAACTTGCAAATTCCTGAAATAAAAAAAAATACGACCATTTAAGTTACAGATTAAGTTAATATAGTCACATTTCAAGACTGACAGGAACTAATTGCAGTTAAAAGTTACCACTTAAATCATTCAATGATTATGTTTTCTGTTTTACATAGATGGAGCACAAGAATTTAACATAGCAAAAAAGTTACAGCTTTGCAGAGCTTTTTCAGCTGTCATGCTGATTGCTGATTCCTGATTCCTCAGCAACAACTTACCACATGCTTTTGGTTCAAGCATGAAGCAGGAGTTTTAATCTGTCAGTTTCTGTGATTGTGAATCTCTGGTTTAACCATAAACTTCGTCAAATTGAACGCTACAACCTTGGAAGATAAGAGGCAGACAAATTTATTCTCTACGTTATATGTTAGTCAAGGACATCCAGCACTTGCACCATTAATACCCGAAAATGGGAGGACATACAGGAGTAAATATAGATAATTCTTGATCAATTAAAAGTCAAATATCCTCACCCAGGTTTAAGAGGGGTGATAGGATTGCAAAGAGTAGACCACAAAGTAAATTTCATGGACAAGCTGAAAAGTTTTGGCAATTGGAATGGAATGTAGAAAAATGACAAGATTTGACATAAATGATACAAGTCCCTACATGAAACCAAAAATGAATTCTGAGCCTCCAGGATATAAAAGGCTGACCTGTAATTGTCCTAAAGCAAATTGTGCACGAGGTTCTGCCATAGAAGCTTCAAAGTCGATGTAGAAGAGGTAGTCAAAGTACCTGCCACCAAAAAAGTTGAATCATATACCAGAATCATTAGATCATATTCATAAAGTAAGACCAATGCCCAGTCTCTTAACACTTATTTCTTTCATATTTCTGAACCAAGTAGTTAGAAATATAATTTTTCCACCCAAGAGTAAACCCTTGTTATCGTTACAATCTAGTATTTGAGTAAATAAAGTGACCTAATGATCTACAAATCATGAACTCCCTCAAATTCCTTCCATCTCAAGTTATATAGTCCACCTCATCCTCCCATTTTGTCTTCATAAAGGCTGGTCGGTTATGCATCACTAATCACTGCATCTGAACTCAAAATCTAAATACTTAATTCTACTGTCAAAAATCAAAATTATGGGGCAAAAATCTACTACTAACCTGGCTCTTCCTTGATTTGAATCATCAACCACCCTCAATGGACGTTGCAGCTGTGGACGACTCTCTATCTGAAATTACACCAGGAACATGTGTAACTGGAGTGAATGAGTGTTTCAAAACTGAAGCTCAAAATAGGAAAACCAGTTTTTATATGGCTCACCTTTGATAAATTAATGTCCCTCAAAGCAAAAACTGCCAAAGCTTTGAAAAGGACACCAGGACCTTCTTCCAGACTGAAAACAATACTAGTCTGAAGGGGAAGAAGTCATGAATTCATCAGGAAGTTCGTATAAATGCACATATCAAAAACTAATTCTCTTACCTTATGTCTGTCAGTTCCTGGAATTACAGGCTCCCTTGCAAGGATCAGAAAACGTGAAATATTATCATCATCATCCTAGATAGACGGCAAATTGTCAGCACTCAGTTCAATTTTTGACCTCGCTACTACTAAACATGTTTTTAATAAAAATTAGGAAAAACACAACTTTTAGTCCTTAAAGTTTTAGCGAATTAGCCATTTAGCCTTTGTGTTTTAATTGGCATTAATCTGATCCCTATGGCAGTATGGCTTCAAAATATCAAATAAATGGTCCTCATGCTTTATAAGTCACAACTCAAAAATATACTTTCCGATTTATGATACATGCCACAATTTGATTATTCTGGTTGAGATATTTAAGTATTCCACAAACAATCAACAAATTTTATATCAAGATGATTCCGAAATTGAAAAATTCAATGGAGAAAAAGGATCAGCAAAAAAAAAAAGGGAGGCAAAATTAAGAAGAAATTGGGCTTCCTTTTCCCTGGTGCTTCAGTTCTTGAGAATATAAGCTTCCATGATGACAGGGAGAAAACGGAAGGATGATTAGGTATTGGCAAAACGGCACCAAAAAAATTGAAATAGAACGTTAAGTAGTTCCATAATTAAAATGTAAATGCTATGCCAAAGGATGAATGCCATGTTATCAACTTCCTTGCAGAACCCAACCCAATAGTGGGAAAATTATAATGTCTTGTTCATTCCAGATGGGCAAGTGTGATGATAGCTCGTTTTAAGAGATCACAAACAGCATGTAGAAAACAATTAAATAATTAAATCGCATCCAGTTAAATTATAAGCTAGAAACACAAACGATAGTTTTGAATATTTTCCATGAAGAGCCAACTGCCAAATCAAGTTCAAATGATATGGCATCTAATACACTTGTATGCAAAAAAAGCATGTTCTAATGTAAGAAAAGCATCCCTTCAGACCATACATTCTGGGAGCCTGCTCTTCCAAAACCTGTAAATAAAGTCTAACCTGGACATTTTCTGCAAGAATGTTTAGGCCATAAAGTTTGGCAGCTCTGGCACTTGCAATAGCTCCAGTGTCTCTAATTCCATTGGAGGCCACTGTCTGTTCAAGCATCCTAAGTGTTAGGTCATATTGTCCTATAATACGGGTAATTTTTGCTTTCAATGGCCCATAAAAAATTTTGGTATTGTACCCGAGCAGCCCCAGCTGTATCAGGTGAACCAACTTTGATAACATGTAAGTTGTTAAGCATCACCTCGCATTGAGCCAGAGCCTGCATGCCAGGGAAAAAATGCCTAAAAATTGAAATACCTATACTCGAGTATTTTGTTATCAACAGAAAAGGTAATCTCTTTTCACAATAAAATTGGCTGTTTAAAAGTCTGTGAACCATAGACCTTGTTTAGAAATGAAACACTGAGATTGGCAAGTATTTCAATTGAAAAATTACTATCACGCAGAAGAACAATGAAGAAAACCTAATTGATCTAATCCAATAAACTGTACTACTTGATATAGCTGGGATCTTAAAGCATGAAACTAGGTGCCCCTACAGTGTGATCAAAATAGGAAGCATTATGCATGGTCAAGTCCCACTCTATCAAATGGAAAAGAAAGGGGGATATAGTGAAAATAACAGCTAACCTGAGGATGACTCACAACACGTTTGAGCTCCTCCGTTTTCACACCAGGCAAGCCTAAGAGGCAGTGATTAACTTGCAACTGCACCTCTCCAACAATGTGCAGCCTATGGCGAAGAAGCAAATCATAATTACGGTGGATGCTTCCACCAACAGAATTTTCAATGGGTAGAACAGCTTTATCCACTATCCATAACTCAACTGCCTGCAGAAAGGAATATAATATCAATACAACAACAGTGATTAGTAAGGGTATCAATTAGAGAGATAGAGAAATAAGGAACAAGTATGAAAACCTTGAATGCAACTTCAAATTCATCACAAGGAACAGTCTCACATTTTGGATATGCCTTCAAAGCTGCATCCTCACTATATGCCCCAGGAAGACCCTAAATGAAGCATTTGCCAAGTTAGCAATGGTTGCAATAATGACATGGATCTTCTAATTGAAAAGGAATTAGCGAGCATAATATACATACCTGATATGCAACACGCACCTTTGATCCATCACTTGGAGAAGAAGAAACGTCATTAGCTGTCAATGGCTCTGCAAATAGAGTAATTCCATGATCATTCACAAGGTAAGCCACAACAAGGAAATTGTTCAAATCACTTATTGGTAGCACAGCATGTGTATACTGTATTCATTATTATACAATCATTTTGTTACTGTGCATGCATGCATGACTGCATGGTGATTAGTGAATTTAGATAATTAGGGCATAAAACTGTAGACTCACATGATTTCTAAACCTATTCATTTAACTTCAAAAATCAAGCTTGACGAAACCTGGCATAATCCAAATTACATATTACATGGAGAATACAATTGTAGTTAGCCAAAGTATCCCATAATCGATTGGTTGCATGGGCTCAAAGATTATAAAACTGAAATTTGCCACTGTGATCAAATTCATAACTTAAAACAACAATGAGCTGAGTTGATCCTATTGCATCTTGTCAAGAACTTTGACAGCAACTATGAGGAAAATCCAGATAGCATAACCATTATGACTCAGATTACCAAAATGAATCCACAAGCAATGTAAATGGTTAAACATGAACAAAATTTAGTGTTGTACAACACACTAAATGTTTCGGATAAAGAATTTGTGTTTGGTTGTGGCATGTATCTTTGTCTATCATATACAAGAAGAAAAAATAGCATCACAACAAAGCTTTCTTTTTGGTTTAGTTTTCGCTTCCAAATACTTGATTCAACAGACGATGAAGGAACGTAGCAGAACAACAAAGAATAAGTGGGAGAGAGAGCACAAAGTTAAGAACATGAGGCATTAGGCCACCCCCCACCCACCCGGTTGGGGAAAAAAAAAACAGATTTTCAATATTCCTGTCCCTTAAAGTCCCATCTGCATGATTCAGATCTTCTTTTAGTCAGAAGGACTTTTCTTCCATCATCATATGTCAGTTATCAACAGATAAAGAGATGAGGAAAAAGTCATCAGCTGAGAGCATGCAAGAGGGTTGAAAGAAAACTACAATTAGTTATCTACGTGCAACATTATTACTCTTGCATGGGTTTTTGTCAATGATCACCTCAGTTCAAAAGATTATGCTGTTAAAAAAGGTGCAAACGAAGAATACCTCGCAATACCTTAGGCTAAAACTCAATGAGGGCAAGCGATGATAGAACCCCTGGTCAGTTGCTCATAAGGCTCTAATACCATATAGTACTTCAATTAAAAGTTTAAATTGTTCGGTGGAGGGCTATAAATAGTTTTACTATAATCAAACAATTTAAACCACAGGAAAGTCCTCGAATATCCTTATAAGAGAATTTAGAGGTTAAAATAAGTTCACTAGCAAAAGGAATCAGTTCAATGCTGGTACCATGCGAATATCCTATGGGCGAACATATTCATGCGATTAAACATGACATGCTTTGACGTCCTAAGGAATTCCTTCATTCAAGCACAAAATTATATGCAAAACGAAAACTATTTTTCACAATGGTCCCCAAATGTTAATTCCAGATATGCTGGCCAATATTCGTGGCTGTCCATGAAGAACGAGGAATCAGAAAAATCATTCTCTGCACGCCATTAAAGCTTGAAAATTGGAATTGCTAAAGCTCATTGTAGGAAACACCGAACAGATATAACTCACTAGGAAGCAGGTTTAAATCCTTGTGAAACCCCTTGGAGTCATTTTCATGAGCCCCATCACTGGGCCCAGAAATTTTAACCACCGGCATAGTTGGCTTCTCATCTTCAACAGGAGTCGTAGCTCTCTGAGCTAAAACAGCCAAACAACAGCATTCCCATTTGCGGCATTTCCCAAAGTCACCTCTCAAATTCACAATCTGTCCAGAATTACCCGAATGGGAATTTGCAACACCCAATTGAGTAGCTTGAGAACAACTCCAGATGGAAACACCCTTCAGAGCCATGAGAAAATTCAGCCTGCGAAGCCTTACAACAAGGTCCCAGGGAAGTCAGCAAAGTCTAAATCCATAAAAACGTCTGTAGTAGGTGAAGAATTAGTAGGTGAGATTCGGTAATTCTCAGCATGACATTGTCAAGGAATTGGAGAAGCAAGATAATGGTGGCGTTTGGACCCCACTTTAAGTAACGTAAGTCAGGAGGAACAAGTTTCTGGGAATTTGACAATGAGATCGAACATCGTTCCTGGGGATAAAAGAATAGAAATTTATTAGCAGGGGAGAGAAAAAATCAGGCAGATGAACAAAATGTAAGCTAGTCAGCCATACAAGTTTTCTTGAACGAGAAGAATGTAACGGGAGCTGTTTTGTGCTTTGGAGTGGGAGAGACAGACACACAAACAGATCGATGGAAGGCAAGAGGCAAGTAATGAATTTCAGTGGGGGAGGGAGAGTAATCTGAGTCGTTGAAACTAACTTAGAATGTTACTCACTCGATCCTTTTATTTCTATAAGATGTTTTGTTGTAATAAGGGATATTTTTCATTTTTCTCCCAACCAGATTCTTTTTGCCCAGTCCTAATCAATTAATGAAGACTTATTTCTAAACTATAATTAATGTTTCTACAACTTCCTAGGAGCTAGGGGTAAAATGATTTGACTGTGAAAAATACGATACAACCATGGGGAAAAAAGTTTTAGGAGACTTCTTATAAAATTGAATTAGACAGAAGAGATATTTAATAATAAAAGTTGTCTTAATCTGGCAAGAAAAATAAAAACTTGTTTTAAAAAAATTATACAAAATATTTTTTTGTTATGATTCATGCATTAATTATACCCTTCTCTAGGACTTGAATGCACAACTTATAATTAAAAAAAAGGCATTTAGTGTTTTTTTTTTTTTTGACCGGAAAGGCATTTAGTGTTTGTTAGGCTACAAAATCTCCACATATATACACGTCGTGATTTATTGGGTAAGAATGGTTTGTTATGGTTTAATCTAAATTTTGGCCCAAAAAAAAGATATAACTTTCAATATATAAGTTATTCTAGCAAAATATATATAAATATATACTCCTATGATCATAGTCACTTTTAACATATTTCATATAACAAAAACCTTAAACTTTATTAATTTTAATTTAAAATTCAATAAATTTTTAACTTTATCTTTATTTAATATATATTATACATCATATAAACAAAATCAACATCATAATAAATAAAAGGTAAAATTATATATCCATACAAAAAAAATTTCTTAATGCGCTATAAACAGGACAAAAAAATATTTTGTCTCTCTACCTTATAAATAGGACCAGAAGAGTAGTATGTAATTTTCTTTCTCACGAATAGTATCTCCAACAATTTAAATTATTCAATTATAGGATCTTTTAAAATACTACCTCCAGTTGTAATATAAAAGTTAGTTGACTAATTTGAGTAGATTAAAAAAATAAATTAAGTTAGTTATTTGTAAAAAAAAAAGTGTTATTTTTCATAAAATATCTTTGCTAGTCAAATTTATTGGCTAAAATTATCATTATTATAAGAACTATCTTAAAAAAAATATATTAGTATAAAAGATAAAGTGAATTGAAATCTTATATCTAGAATCAAAATAAAAATTAAATAATATTTTATATTAAGGATTAATATAATACTTTTTTCCCTCTCTCTAGAGAGAGAGCACAGGTCCAAAAGTATTAATTTGGAATGCACTAATTTCAGGAAAAACGGCGAGCTATAAATGGGGCTCCTCTGTCCAGCAACTAGCAACTTCCTTAGCATGTACTTATCTGATTCTATTTATAAAGTATTTTTAATATGTTTTATATAGACTGAAAAAAACTTTAAATTTTATTAGTTCTTATTTAAAATTTAATAACTTTTCAACTTTATCCTTATTTAATATACATTATACCTCATGTAAATCAAATTAACATAATAATAAATAAGAAATAAAATTGTACATCAATATAAAAAATTTCTCTTAGTATTCTATAAATAAGATAAAAAACATTTTCTTTTTTTATCCTATAAATAGGACTAGAGGAGTAGTACTATAAAGGATAAACTGAATAAAAACCATAATTTTTTTAAGTATGCCCAACGACAAATTTTGCCAATGTTTTATTCAGCGAGGAGTCGAATGGCTGGCGAGAATGGACAAGGATAAATTCTTTAAAAGAAAATTAAGAGCATTTTAATAGATATACACTAAGTATATTTAGAGTCAAAAGACTTTTTTTTTAAAAAAAAAAAACTTTTAATGGGCAAAAGAACCTTTTAGAACGAAATCTGACGTTGAAGATAATTCATTAAAGTAGAGTATTTCTATATTCGCCGCGACACGCATCTACATATGTTTTCAAAATTATTTTATGTAATTATTAAAACAAATTTTTTTTAATTGGAAAACAACTTTTGTTAAACCATTCCAGATGTGCTTGCAAAAACCTCGTTGGTAAGTTCAGCATATGAAAATGTATCGGCTAAATAAACTATTACTCCCTCCCGTAATCGTTATAATTTTCAAATAACTAATTTATGAATAATAAATAATTAGTTAAAGTTAGTTAAAAATAATAAATAAGTTAGAAATATACTTTTGTTTTTAAATATACCTTTATAATAAATAAGAAAAACGATAAAAAAATGTGTAAAAAATATTATAAGAAAGAAATAATTAAGGACAATATTTAAAATATATATATTAAATATTAAAACAAATCTAAATTAAAACTTATAAAATAGACCAAATTTAAAGCTTATAAATAGCACAGGAGTGAATATTATTATTGTTGTTGTTATAACTCAAGTCACATATTTTTTATTGATGAAATAAAAAATATAACTTATAAGTTGCACGAGCTTGACCCTTTTTGAAGCTTTTTAATCCTTAGCTTGAAATTTTTTTTCCCTTTTCCATGTAATACATATGTTAGGCAAAATAACTTGCTGGTGATAATCGCACTGAATGCCTACTCTGAACCGGAAAAAAAAATTGCACTGAATAAAATGCACTTGATTCCATTAAACAAAATTGATTGTTTGGAACCATACACCTCAAGTTAAGTTAGAAAAGTTATATATATATATATTAAAAAAAAAAAGTATGAACGAAACCATCTCAATTAGACAACACACGTCACAATGCTAAAGTAATGCATGACTTGTGAGATTCAGTTCCCCAAAAAAATGACAATAACGTGCCGTTCTCCAAATTTGCTAGTGGTGGTAGGTAAGGGATGTGGCTCACCATAGAAAAAGAACAGAAATATTATATTCCTCCGTGCAAAGCGTAGAAATTAATTAACTAATTTAAATAAATTAAAATTATTATTTAAATTAGTCAACATAATACTTTTTTTCTAAAAACCCTAAATATTTTTTTTAATTCTTTCCCTCTTCTCATATTTGATTATTACTAAGAGAATATCAATAAAATTAATTTTAAAAAATTAATAAATATATAAAATAGGTTTTACATATAAGACTAATATCAACTCCCTAATTATCCACGGGTGCTTTCTTTGAATTGTCTAATAATATATATGTGTGTGTGTATGTATATTCTATGAAGGTGGGTTAAAATATTAAAATAAATACATTTTTATGTTGATGTAAAATTATATGTTCACCTAAAAAATTTAATGATGTACTAACTTCTAAATAGAATTAAAAATAAAATCCACCCTATCAGAGTCACGAATAAAAATATATGAGAAATATTATTTGAAAGGGTGGCTCTTTTTTTATCCTGTCGTTTTGTTTGTAACCTGGTTCAAATCCTCTCGAGGTTGCTTATATTTGTTTGTTTTATTAATGCTGAGCAATAGTAATTAACAATGATGGTCTGGAGATGGCGATCTACTTAAAGTGTTAATGATGGGCCTAATCATGCATTTTATGCAAGGGAATGATGAAAAGTGAATTTTTACAATGGAGGGATTCAAATCAACCCAATGAACCTTTCAATATTAGAAAAGCAAAGAAGTCTAATTCAAGAAATGGACACCTCACAAGTGTCTCTCACATTAGCTTCATGATTTTAGATTGATGGGTTCAACGAAAATGCCATATTTCCCACATTTGCTATTGGGACGTGACTCGTACTTCATTTTCTCCCTTTTCATATTAATAATCCTATCTTAAATTTTAATAACTTTTCAACTTTATTTATATTCAATATACACTTTACCAAAGTAAAAAGTTTACACAAAAATAAATGGATGACAAGAGTGTACATGCAAATAAAAATATTTAATTATGTGACTCGGAAATATGGAAAAAAAATTCTTTTTTTGTCTTATAGATAGGGCTAAAAAAATATAGGATATGATAGTTTGAAAATTACAGTATTATTCAAAACGGGAACGGCAAGTATCATTGTAAGTTTTCGTGTAGATTGGTATAGGGTTTAAAGCAAAGCTCACCATTTACACGTCGCGAATGATGAGTTGCCAAGATATTTGAAGTTTAAGTGTTCTGCTTCGAGATCATTTTGGATATCTAAACGGACAAAAGAGTGGGTTGAGTGTCTTGTGATGTGCGGCAACCTTAAAATAGTTGAAAGGTTCACCTACATCATCCACTTGGCAATTAAAAAGGATCAATCACCTCATAGCCTCTCAGAGGAATCAAATTACACTCATTACGTTTCTCCTCTAACAAGATAAAATGACCTGTTTTATACAAATCAAAACTAATTACTCCTCTAATTCTAAATACTCCTCCGGTCCTTATTATAAGACCCCATTTGACTTTTTATTTGGTCCTAATTATAAGACCCCAATCCATTTTGTCTCTTATATTTATGCATTTTTTTTCCAAGATAATCCTTCTAATAATGATAGTTTTAGCCAATATACTTAATTAGCAAGGATATTTTAGGAATGACAACACTTATTTATTATAAATAACCAACTTAACTTACTTCCTTAATCTCCTCAAATAAGTCAATTGGGTCTTATAATTAGGACCGGAGGAGTATTAAAATTAGACTAGCAGAGACAGGAGCCGAGGATGAAGAAGCATAAACCTTTTTTTAAAATAAA